CATTCGCATGGGTCCAAGGTTGGTGGGAGCATGGCAATGGTGTCAAAAGCTCTCCAGGTTGGCAGCACCTGCAGGCAGCCCCAAAGTCCCAGCAAGGCAGGAGGAGGCCAGGAGCAGGAGGAGGAGCCGTTCCAGCATCTCTCTTATGAAGAGGCCACACCCCCAGGATGCGCCAGCAGACATGAAGGACAGGTTGGTCTCCAGCCCCGCACATTCACAGGAGCGAAAACAGACATAAAATCTAACGGCCACAGGGACCTATTGTTTGGCTGAAGACTGAGCCAGAAGAATGAGTTCAGTTCTAGATCTGAGGAGGGACCAAGGACCAGTCTCCAGGATTCCATCAATCTTTGTCCCATCAGCAAGCCTGGTCTCTTGCAGCTTTTGAGCTTTGTTCCATCTTTCTCCCATTTTATTCCGGTGACCCAGTGTGACCCCATTCAGAGCAGTTGCTCGTGGTATCCAGGCATCATCTAGTTCTGACCTCAGGGCTGTGGAGACGCATGTTTGTGTGGTCCAGTAGTCTATTAAACTAATCGTTTTCCATGTGTCTTCAATTTTAATCACCCTTCTATCCTCTGGATAGGGAGAGGTCAAGAGTTGCATCTCAGATGGCCACTCGCATGCTTTTAAAATCCCAGTTACCATTCACAAAAATAGGAAACAGACCTGGTGGACTGTGTATGCCAATTGACCCTGGTGTCCCCAAGATTACTGTCCTGAGCCCCTTGACCCAGCAACTCATTCCTCCAAAGTGCCTACTTATGGCCAAGAAGTTTTCATAAAGTTGCCCCCTGTATGCTCCACCACAAGCATGAATTCAGTGGCAGTAAAAACATATCCACGTACAAATATCGTTTGTCAAACATGTGTGTATGTATGCGTGTGTATATATGTGTGTATATACAGGTCAGTGTTAATGAGTCACCTGAGGCTCTTATTAAAATGTGGATTCTGATTCAACTACCTGACAAAAAATCTGAGCTTCTGCCAATCTGACACGCTTATCCTGATGCCCTTGACTTCTAGCACTTTGACACTCTGAATAGTAAAGTGTCTATGTGTATACTCCCCACAGTGGGTTTTCTGTTTTACTTCTATCTCTTATATTAAAAGCAAATCACAAAACAAAAGCTCCGGGTTAATTCTAAAGATTGTGGATACAATTTAAGCAGTGTTTGTCACCATATTTTGGAATTTTTGTTAAGATAGGTAAGTCTGAATTCTAACTTAATACTGTTCTTTTCTGTGGCAAAACTATATGGCAATTTTTTCAGGGCTTTTGATTTATAAAGATCCTATGGGAAAAATCTTTTCCCTGCATACTAAACCCTGAATCTTGGCTCAGTCATTCCGTGGTCCATGGAAAGAGATCGTGCATAGGTAGCATCTTCAGAGTCCTTTCCGATAAGTCCGTGGTCATCAGTGGCGTACAAAGCCGGAGTTCCCTGACCACGTCATCTCTACCTTCTCTCTCCAAAGGTGCACTTACCCCTACAGTTCAACCTTGAGAAAAATCACAAATTCAGTTCTGGCCACAGCTTCCAGTTCTGCTCATTTGCTTGATGAGGCACTTCTATTTTCTCCTAGTATCCAGGCTGACAAGAGGCTGCACCTCAACCTTTGCCCTCAATCACTCGAGTAAGCAAGGGGAAGTGGCAAAAGGGACATTGGCTCTTACAGCTTTACCTGGAAGCCATACACAGAATGACCATTCACATTCTACTGGCCAAAGCAAGTCGTGTGGCCACATTTAACTTCAGGTAGATGTGGGGGTGGGTCTGAGTTCAACCTTACCACACCCCAGAAAAAGGAGAACCAGAAAACCTGTCCACAGCCCTAAGGACTACCTCCTGTCCACCAGGCAGAACCAAGCCTACAGGAACCCAGTCAACCACTTTCGCCAGGCTTTAATCCAAACCACCTGAAAAAAGAGCTGACTGCATCCACTAAAGTCATCATCACAATTCCAAATGGATCAAGATATTCCACTATCAACTATTACCTACTCTCTTCTCTACTAGTTCAAACCTTTGTCACCCAAACCCTAAAGCCTTCAACTCCTCATCTCCCCAATCACTTCTCAGAAAACAATGGAAAGATGTAGCTTTTTACTGATTTTTCCGCCCATGAGTTCAGGTAATTTGGTGTCCTGAGAAGCAGTACTAAAAACCTACACCACTGAGGTGACTCCAACTCATAGCCACTTTATACGGGGTTTCCAAAGCCACACATCTCTCCCGAAACAGAGGGCTTCAGCTTCTCCCCACAAGGTGGCTGGTGGGTTTGAACAGATGACCTTGTGGTTAGCAGTCCAATGCTTATCAGATACCACCGCCAGAATACGGCTAATAGAAACTAGGGAATATGACTCATAAGAAAGTGGTCAAATTACCCTCTTGTGACTCAGGTAAACTCTGGGTGAAGATGAGCATTTACACGGCAAATGTTGACAGAGTAATAAGCAGAACCAGACATTTGATCTAGAATCTGTAAACAACGAAAAAATCTTGTACCGTTTTAAAAAAATACTGATTCAATGTTAACTTGGCAATTAAAAAAAACACAACTCACTGCCAATCACTCAATGCCGACTCATAGCAACCATACAGGACAAAGTAGAACTGTTCCTGTGAGTTT